CGGCTGCGGGACCCAGGTGCCGCGCGATGCTCGGGGCAGCAGCTGCGGGGGTTCCTTCTCTCCCGGGGGGCTGATTGCGTGATCAGCGCCTGCTGATTTAACGCAGCTCTTGGTGCTGGAGGGTTGCTGGGAGTGGGGCAGTTGCTTGGGCAGCCTGAGAGGAAGAGGAGTCCCTGTGTGAGCAGGCTCAGCAGTGGGGAAGGAGCTGTGCTGTCCCAGCAAGCTGAGATCCTGCAGCCCCTCCGCAGTGCTGTCTGCAAGCAGAGCTGAGCAAACCTTGCAGGTCCCGTGGAGAGCTGCAGCCTGTCGAGCACCGTGGCCCACAAAGGTATGGATGAGGAACAGGAGAATCATGGTATGTCCCACTTTGCAACGTTGGCTTGTTTTTTCCTGGGAGATGTGTGTGTGCATCCCCCCTGGCCCTGAGGTTCATAGGAGGCTCTGCTCTGTAAGAGTTGGAGTCAAAATTGACCCTGGCAACTGTCTGCATCTGGAAGAAGGTCCTTAGTTAGGTGTTACTGAGCCAAACCAGCTCCTATATAAAGAAGCAGTGAACTGGAGAGGAAGGAGCTGGTTCTAAGATGCCATGCAGCTCTGAAGTTTGCTGTTATTTCCACCGCTGCCGTAGTTGTGACAGCTCACCCCTGTAATGCGAAGGGGGAGGTGGCCCTGGTGTGCACATGCCTTTCGTAGGCTACCCCAGCGTTTTTCTCTAGGTCTGCTTTGCCGCTGTTAGCCCAGCCTGGCCCATTTGCAGTGAGAGCTGTTATTTGATGCCCTGTTAGAGAGGTGATGGGGGCAAGCGACGGTTTGCTCTGAGCACCCCACCTTCGTGCGTTAGGGAAGGGGCTCTGAGGCGGAGCAAACCCAGTTCTCTCTTCTCCTCTGGTCCCCAAAGGACTGTCCAGGAGTGGAACTGTCTGGAGGTTCCAGCATTTTTGGTCACCTTGCTGGCTAATGCTGCTTTCTGAAAGGCACTTTCACCATGCAGCTGCTTGCACCCCCAGCCTGCTCCCGAGCCAGGTCTAGCAGCGCTCTGCAGAGCAGCCCAGGGTGCCTGGCAGCCCCGGGGCAGGCAAAGGCAAGTCCCATAACCTCTTGGGATGCCTGCATGGAATTAACTTGCATATTGCTGATTTAAAAAAAAAAAAGCAGTTATTCAAAAATATATCTTTATTTTTTTCAGTTTATCAGCTATTTAAATAATCCAGTTAAAATATGTTTTATTGCACATTAAAGAACCTTTCTGGATCCTCACTGTCCTATATAAAATAAGCTTATATAGAGAAAGGAAAAGAGAGACTTTCTTGCACTTATACACGCACACACACTCAATCGCTCTTGCTCTACGAAAACCCTAAGCAGCCAACCTGGTGTAGGCTATATTCATCCTCAACATCTATACAGTGTGCTCTAGGCAGCTAAGAATCAGCTATGGTAGGAAAAAGTCAGGTGCAGGACGGGGAGCAAGGAGAAGGGCGCGGCCCGGGGGCCCCGGCGGTGTCTCCGCAGCTGTGGGCAGCCGCCTGTGGTGCAGGGAGGGTCTGGCGCGGTGGAAGCAGTGCAGCGCACGGGAGGCAAAACGCAGGGTGTTGATGCAGCGCGGTGGAATGGAGGGGGTGTAAGCAAGGTGGACAACATACCGGTGGGGCAGAGGTATCCTCCCGCCACCTCCCTTCAGGGCTGCGTGCGGAGCCCAGGGCAGCTCCGGCCGCAGCCCCGTGCGGCTCCATCCCCTCCCCGGGCACCGCCCGCTCCGGGGCA